ATTTTCGCCGATTGTTTAACGCTCAGATATTGTGGAGAATACTGTTTTGGAGATCAAATTTTTGCATTTAGTTATGGATTGCTCTAAACCTACTGTTAGTGATGTTGTAATTAAGTATCAAGAAATTTTAAAGGAAAATTTAAGGTGGGAGTGTTCGAATAAGCGTAAAAGGTTTGGAAAGCAAGGCATTTTAAACAGGTATTTTATGTATGAATTAACAAGAGAGTATGAACTTTTTAGAGGATTTTTAATGGATTGTGGATTACTGAAGGAATAAACGTGTTGTGAAAAGTGCAAGGTACCATGCAAAGGTATCTTACATTTGGGAAAGGCAAAGCAAAGGTGTGATTTTCTGACATTGCTTTTAAAATTACATCATTTTAACCTTAATCATTTTCATTAATCATTCCTTAATGTTTCCTTCTTTTAAAATCGTGTATAATAGCCGTAAATTTATTTCTATTATCCACAATTTCTGGTGAAATCAAGATGGCCGCCATTTTTGAAACACGGAGTTTCGTCGAAAATCTGGTTGGCAACCATTTTTCAAAACAATGTATTTCATGTGCTTTGGCGCCAAAACAAATTCGCCAAACTTTAAAGGTGGGCTATACTGAAGCTGTTCCAAGTAGCTCTATGTCCTCAATTTTAGATAATTTAGCTGGCCTAGACCTTCCAGTATTCAAACGACTCTAAAATACTGCGTTGGGATATGCTTTTGTCAAACCAGGTCTGAGCACGGAGTTGACATGCGAAGAACGTAGAATAATATTTTAACACTTATCGTGAATTTTCAGTAAACACAACATAACCGAAATGTGTGAGAATTAAGTTTCGCTGAAAATCGTTTACAGTCATGCTTGTGTGAAATATAATTCTATTCTGCAAATGGAAATATATTCAGTTATATATTACTGATACTTATTGAATGTAACTGTCTTTGTGGATATAGATTTATTGTCACTACATTAAGCTATACAACTTTGTAACAACTCATTTTATTATTTTTCTCTTTGATACAGAATTAGGTTTGAGAACTTTCCTAATATTCCTTTAAGAGCGCTAATAATCATTGCTTTTGGATAAGGCACTTTATTAGTGATGTATATTACAGTATACGATTTTTAGTTCCAAAATGAAACTGGTGAATATCCTATATATACATGAAGAGGTGGATTGATTGAGTAGTAAATGTTTTGTTAGTTTTACGTAGTTGTAAAACAAAATATTATATATCATTATACAGAGCAGTGTTTTCTTTCGCCTTATGATACACTGCTTTACTAGATTACTTATTCTATAGTTTATTGTAACTTGGCAGTATATAATTTTCAGGGCAAAATCTTTCGAAAATAAACTCATGGCAGAAGTGACATAAATGTATTTTCTCATGTCAAAAACATTTCTGAATCCTGTAATTCTCCTTGAATAAAAATCAAATTTTGAGATAAAAAGATAAAGCAGTGTAGAGAAGATGTCTGCCATTTAATAAAACTCACTCGACGAAAGATTTTCGAGGTAAATCTACTTTTCTGTCATCTAAAAAAGTGTGTAGTCAGTGTGAATGCCAATACTAGAAAAAGGCCGATCTTTGGAAGGGATGCGTAGCTTGAAATAAGAAAAGAAGTGATAAAAGAACTGTTGCGTTATTCAAAGAAAACGGCTGGATAAGGGAATAGATCAACCGGTCTTTTATATTGATAAGGAAAATATTTTATGTAAAAAGAGAATCGTAAATCTGAAATCAGAAGACAGCATTTTGGATTCAAATCCATCGAACTTTACACACTCACAATCGAAAAATAAGGCTCGTAAAAATTGATTCTTGGCAAATGGATCTCAGGATAATGGTATAGGCAGCCTATCATGTGTTATAGTCTGTTTCATGGGAAGTTGAACGTTTGGGAAATATGGAGAGCAAGTTGTTGAAAAACTACAATTTTCTTTTTGTGTGCCTGCGCCATAGCAGCAGGTTTCAAATCTTCTCAGCCGTGCGCAGGTTACTCCTTGCATTTACTTTTTTCTTAGTAATAACGAGAATAAGAAAGATATGCATTGATATTCATGCTTACAGTATGAACTGCCATATATACAGCTGAAAATTCTCTGAGAACTACTTATGATGCTATATATACTTAGTTGATATGCAATAAAATTTAATTTGAATAAGTAAAATTAAATAAATATTTTACAAAAAATATTTATTGAATTAATTCTTTCAAATAATTTAGCCTATAAATATTTGTAGGCTAAATTATTTGAAAGAATTAATTCAAGCAAATGAACGAGCTTTCATATTAGTCCATTTTTTAAAATTAATATTTTTTCCGTTACTTTTAAATCACTTGTTTTTGCTATTTATGTTTCAGTTCACTAATGTTATTTATTTGTTTCCTTCATTGCTTGATTAACGAATTCCATATATACAGCTGAAAATTCTCTGAGAACTACTTATGATGCTATATATACTTAGTGAGATGCAATAAAATTTAATTTGCATAGGTAAAATTAAATAAATATTTTACAATAAAATATTCATAGCCTAAATTATTTGAAAGACTTAATTCAAGCAAATGGACGAACTTTCATATTAGTCCATTTTTTAAAGTTAATATATTTCGTTACTTTTAACTCACTTGTGTTTGCTATTTATGTTTCAGTTCACTAATGTTATTTATTTCTTCCCTTCATTTCTTGTTTAATCAATTATGACACCAAATTATTAAAACATTATCATTATAATAAGTATAATCTTAAGGTATATGTCTTTATAAAGGCTTAAACGAAACTGGATGATACTCGGGTTACACAAGAAGAAAAAAACAGCGAAAACCTAGCCAGTGTTCGTATATAAAAAATCGAAAATTAGGTAAAGCTTAATCAAGATTGCAGTATTTTTCTATATACTAATTTAAACAACCCATTTAATTTCTTTCATCATTAGTTTGACTTATTTCTGCTCTACTATCTTCATTTTTTTACTGCAATTCATTTTTCCGGATTAAAAAAATGAATACATACCTTTGATACATGTTGAAACATTACAGGGAGTTTTGGGGTTATCTTAAAAAATCAGCTATGGTTATCGAAAGTTAATCAGAATCCGGATTACTGAAATTTAATCTTACCATTAAAGAGTATTTATTAATCAGAAGAGAGAATACTCTTTTTATCATACCCATTTTGAAAGTAGAACATGAAATGGAACTATGTTCTCAAAAATATATCATTATACTCCATTGTACTACTTGTAGATTTAAAATATACCCTTTTATTTTGGGAATTCCCTGGGAATAAGCAAAAATGGATAATTTATTATTTAAATGCGAAACAGTTGCTTAATTATATGTAAACAATAATATCTGGAAGTAGAGAAATAGAAATAAAAGTGCGTTCTACTTTCTAACACTGCTTGGTCTTAAAATTATATTTCTAGGAAAACAAAAGTTTATTTAAATGCTAAAATAAATATATATTACGTTAATTTGGTTTAAACTTTATACAGTTACAAACTCAAATGACTTCTAGTTTTGCTTTACAGCATAAATTCCACTCAGTATCTCGACGACAAGGAACGGAAACCAAACATAAACAGTTTGAAACAAAAGTATAATTTCACCATATTTAGAATTCACAATGAAATTTTGGCCATCTCGAATGAAAGCATTCAATTCTATTTCGTGCAACTACAAATAGTCTACGCAGAAGAGTTACAATGATCAAATATTCATATCGTGACCTTTAAGTGGGCACATTTAGATGAAATCGCATGTTCTTTTTAGTTCCAGCCCATTAGGCTTTTCAGCTTCATGAAACATGCATTTCGAGTTATAGGCGTACATATAATGTCAGAATCGAGGATTTTGGAAAGATATAGTCGTACATTAATTCAAAATTTTTAAAGAATGATATGCCATTCTTTTGTTTTTGTGTAATATATTCATGAAATACAGATAGCGCTTCTTATTTTAACTGTTAATCTGAATTCTAACTGGTCTATATAGTTGACAAACTTGTTAAATTTAGAGCTATCATAAACTCAAAAACAAATTTAATAATAAGAAAACAACTCTCAGGAAAATTTAGATAGAAATTGCATCTACTTTAAGAGACACAAGATTGAGGCAGGAAAGTAATTACGATGGCAAGAAAGTAATTTTGGTTTTTTAGTGTGAAGTGAAACTCATTTCTTTTCTACAGGAAAAGTAAACTTTAATAAGTCAAATATTTTCGATTCTAGTCGATGACCATTTGCCATCTTTCTGGTAACTTGGTGATTCTGCGTTCATGGAACTTCTGGTCTATATCAACAAAAACCTCCACCATATGTGATTTGAAGTCATCGTTATTGTTGAAATTACTATAATTTCAGAAGTTTTGTAAACTTCGAAATAAATGATAATCCGATGGTGCAAGGTCGTGGCTATATGGAGGATGCGACGTCAATTCACAACCAAGCTTCATTAGTTTCATAAGTGTTTAAATCTGTGTGAGGCCTTGCATTGTTGCATTAGAACAGGATTCCTTGGCGACTTCTCAAATCTGGCCTTTTCTATTTGATTGCGTCGTCTAATTTCATAAACTGTTGGCAGTAAATATCTAGCTGGTAGTTTGGTTGCTTGAAAGCAGTTCAAAACACACAATAATCCCACCAAACTGACAGCATGATCCTTTTCTGATGCAATTTAGCTCTTGATATCATTTGTGCTGATTCATCGTACTTGGACCATGATCTTTTTCATTTAATGTTATTGTAAAATGACCAATTTTTCATTACCAGTGATAATTCTTTTCGAACAGAGATTGATTGCATTACATTTGAAATCAGCATCGCAAATACTGATTCTTTGTGTCAAATGAGTTTCTTTTAATTCATGCGGATCCCAAATATCAAGCTCCTTAACATGTCGAAGATAACTTATGTGATATTCAATCATTGTATTTGATACATTTAATTATTTTTTTATCTCTTGCACAGTTATAAGATGACTCAATTCAATATGGCTTTAGTTTTCTCATCATCAACTACAGAAGGTTGGCCAGAACGTTGGTCATCTTCAGGTAAAAAATCTCCAGAATGAAATTTTTTAAATCAATTCTGGAATATGCATTCTGTTAAGCAATCAACACTACAAATTTAACTTATCTCTTTGTGAGCCTCAGCCGCTTTCATGTCTTTATGAGAATAAAAAAGTAAAATATGCTTATTTTGTGAAAATGTTTATTTTTGCACCTCATCTCAAAACTAATCTTAAACTAACAGTTTTAAACAAATTCTGTAGCAACGTAAAGGTGTCAGTTGCCAAAGTTAAAAAGAAAAAATATAAAACTGACAGAAGAACAACAAAACAAATATAACGCTATCTATGCTATCTATTTGTGCAAACTGAAATTCCTTTCTTGTCAACCCAATATTGTCAAAACTGCAATGGGCATTTCTTATTTTTTCCTAAGTTCAGCGGCGTTATAAATGCCAATGGCAATACTGTAATGGTGATTTATTTTATTGCTTGACATATTATTGACATATTATATTATTGGCATATCTAGTAAAACGAAAAAATAATGTAATTGAATATTTGCATCGTAGTAATTTAAGCTGCATAAAAGCTGCTTAATTATTAACTGCATTTAGAAAGAAAGAAGAATTCATCATGACAAAACCAGCGTACCAACATAACTTGCTCAAACCTTGATCGTAATGTTATAAAAAGTCCCTTGACTCTTATCTCTTTTAGTTTACTCATTTATTTGCAACATACTCAAATTTTTTGTTTGAGTCCCCCAAGACTTCTTTTCGAGTTTTGCATAAAATCATAATGCTCTTTATTTATGTTTCAGTGTGAAGTGTTTAGCTAGCGATAGCCACGGCCTTATTTATGAATCTTCCTATGAGAATCGCTTGCGATAAATCGAGATCAAGTATTAGATGCTCGAAATGCGACAGAATGAACTTCTGATCAAGAAATAACTAACCTTCTGGGACTTCATAAAAAAACAAGATACTTTAAAAATCCCTGGAAGTGCTTGGCATCAGTGACTTTGTCGATTTCGGTGAAAACATTTTAAAATGCTTACTAGGATAAGGTACTTATATAGAAAAAGGGATAAGAAATATTGCACATTTATTAAGTTTTCCTTGACCGAGAAGAATATAAATGAGATAATATCCTATGATTTTTTAAAAGTAAATAATTTGAAAGTTACTACTCAATGCCATTTATCAAGAAGATTTTTTAAACTGCATATTATAGTTTTGCCCATAGTTAGCATTTTTTTGAGTTATTCTGTTGTTTTTTGCAATAATATTTACAAACCTCCTGATTGGAGTAAAATTCGTAGGTTTTAAAATACTAATAAATAGAATCTTACAATAGTAATCTAACAGTAGAGGAACAGCATGAATAAAATTCAGACAAAATGGCCGCTCAGTAATCTAGAGGACAAAACAAGTTAAAACAGTCACGGATTGCTCCACTAAAGTCCAAATACTACCAAGTAAACTCGCTGCAAATGCGTTTACAATATGCCGTACAGATCTTTAGCTTTTAGGAAGATGAAAATTGGAAAATCATCAATCACTTTGCTGGAATTCGAACAATGAATCTCTCCGTTTGTAGTTGGATGTACTATCATTTGCATCACGAAAAAGCTCGCGGTGGAGGGAGGGAGATAATTCTTTACATTCTCTCCCACTCAGGTAGTGAATGGAGAGAAGCACAATACCCAGTCTACCGAGTACAATTGATGACAAATTTTCTTTCACCTCATTTTAGTTGTCGTAGCACTATGGAATATTTTAGTTATCTAAGCGATTGCTCCTTTCAATATGTAATGTAAATGTAAGCCAGACTTCTTTAAATGAATCCTTCATTAAGGCATTACTTGCATTAGCCCTAATGTGATTTTCCACAATCAAGCAATCTAGAATCCAACCAGATAAATTTTGTTTCGTGATTTAGTTTTAAAAAAACGCATTTATAATTATTTCTTGGCCTTTGAATAACTGAATTCATTGTTTGATAGGGAATAATTGAAATAAGTGATTTGTTAAAGAGTTGTTGGCTTTTCCTAAGCTTGCCCAAGATAGTTATTTAATTTCGGTAATTAAACACCGGACTGCAGTAGTTTCGGATTTCAAACTCTAAAATGAAGTTTCAAAGAAAACTGTAATGGATAAGGCAGAAACTTTTGACATATAAATACACATAGTTATAAACCCTGGAAGCATTTAATTAAAATATTCGTGCATATTTGCACACAAAGCGCCAGATCTTTGAAATCAGAAGCATCGCTCTAAAAAGACTGAATACAAAGTTAGATCATTTTTGATGGGCACGTTACTTTTATTATTGAGATATATTCTGACCGGGGGACTTTTAATGACTCTATGATCTGAGGATTCCGTTTCATCCATGAGGACCAATCATGGTTCATTAAGAGTTCTAAACGGGAGCCGAGTAGATCGGAAAGATGTCTTCTTAAAAAAAAAAAAAAAACTCATGGGATTAAAAATTATCTAGGAAAACACAATTAGCTTAGATCTGTAAATTTTATTAAAATACGTAAATGCAGAAATAATCATTAAAATTCCAGTATTTACAAGCCATATCAGTAAATAATAATGTTGAAAAATATCTTGACGCAAACAGGAGAAAATTCGTTTTGGGATCTTTCCAGAACCTGTAAAATCAGTTTCTAAACTCGATTTAGACTCATCCGCATAACGAAGTCAAACCAGAATCTTGGCTTCAGGAAAACTGCTATCTGTAGTTGAGGCGATGCTAAACTAAGAACAGCAGGAAAGTTGGAGGGGCGGATTTATTTTTCTTTTCGCCCAATTCTTCGCCTCGAGCATTGTTTTGGAAGCATACAAACATGAATGTGCTATATTTGCAGTCTTATTCACTTGAATAAGAACACTTTATAGCACTTAAATACAAAATTTCCGATTCGCATTGTTAATTGTTTTACTGTCACCAATCTGGTATCCAGGTACATATGGATGTAAAGTAAAAGCTTTCAATTCTCATTCCAAACTGATTCTTAATTTTGAAATGTTGCATCAATTTCGAAATGATTTAGAAATTAATATTATACAGACGACTGCTAAAGCTATGATTTGTCAAAAATAGATTAAAAAATTAGGATATGAACTCTAAGTAAGAAAATAAAAAAGTGTGAGATCTAGTGTGTTTTGTGAACATGAAATGGTAATTAGATCTATTTAAAGTTCGCCCCTGGCGACTTCTTGGACGGGCGTGAAGATGAACACAATAGGGAAAGGGTGTAAAATGCCATTTATTTATTACAAACTATATAATAGAAGGCAGGGACTTGCGTGCTTACACAAAGACACCGTCCATATGCGGTGAGGACTTAAGAGATGATAATACGAGCTTCTAAATTATTAAATTAAATTACACACTGATCGAACTGCATTTCCTGTAAATTTGCTAGCAGCATTAAGAGAATGGCATATAAATTCTTTTGAAACGATAATGTCTTAGTGGTTGACATCAATGAGGCTATTGCACTTCACAAACGAAATTACGGTGGTTCTAGATACTTTTTATAGGCATGTTAGGTTATTTTAAACTTCAACAGATAACTTTTCTGCATGGGATAATATGCCTGTATGATAAAAATGTACAAGTAAAAGTATTAGCTCGTTAGGTAGTTAATTAAACGCATCTTTAAATAAAATATTCTGAAAAGCAATAACTCTAAAAACACAGCTTATTTACGTTTCCATTTACGTGGAAAGCAATGAAGCGTTAAAGACGCTGTTCTTATCGTACGTAATTTATTTTATTTATTGCCAAATGTTAATTTTCTTTAACTTTTTTTAAGTCTCAGTAGCCTATAAAACTTAGTCTATCAAAGATTTCAGAGCGCTCAAGGATATCCTCATAAAATAATAATAACAATAATAAATAAATAAACGTGACCAGTGTTTAGCCGTACCGTACAAAATATAAAGAAAGTACGACATATGAAAACGCACGACTACTATAGTGTATGTATATTAACCAGTTAAAGTTATTTAGTAAAGAGAAAGAAATAAGGTATATAATCTTGCTTATCTACAGCGCTGATCATTAAAGTTGCTACACCATGAAGAAAGACCAGAAAACGTCTAAACTCTGAGTGGTAAAACAATGTAAATAATTGGCGTTTGACGCCTTACTCACATTACAGACAAAAGTAAGGACACCTTAAAACAGTAATATTCATGTTTCATGTTTAAAATCACGTCATTTAAAATCACATTTACTCATTAATTTTTGTGTCGGAGGTCGTATTATGCTTCGTATAAGGAAAATCTAAGAATTACATCGTGAGTGAATCGTAGTCTACTGGGACTGCGAGTTACCTGCCGTGCTCTGACTGTGGGTTATTTCTGCACGCTTTCGATGATCCAGTGATCATCATACGAATTTGAAATTACTATGCATAGGAGATCCACGTAGAGAGATACGACAGAGTTTCTCTCTTTTTTTTTAAATTTAATTACGGCAAAGCCTCGAGGGCTATCAGCCTAAGGAAAGGTATGCCTTCGGGGAATACTTTCTAAGGGCCAGTGCCTCGTATACATGTTACATATGGGGAAAGCTAGGAAAACGCCCCTGCAGCCACCTCGAACCGAACTACCAGCGTTCAGCCGCTGGCATGCATCGTGGTTTCTCCTGCTGTGCTAGAGTTCGTTTTATTTTGTCTGAAATTTTATGGGAATCTTGATAGGAGATTGGAGACTGAAGAGTATGTATTTAAAATACAGTTAAAGCTGTTAATTCATGCATGGTAGGAAGAACATTTTGCATTTATAATGGGCTTCATTTTGTCTAATTTTATGAAATAGTTTATAATAGTTACAGTATTTCTTATTCAATGCTTAATTAGGGGCCCACCAGTGGCCGAGCGGTAAAGTCGCTGAACACTGGTAGTTCGGTCCGAGGTCCGAGGTTCGAATCCTGCGAACGGGCTGGCTGCATGGGTGTTTTCGTGGTTTTCCCCTTGTGTAACGTGTATACGAGCCAGTTTCCCTTAGAAAGTCCTCC